ACGTGAGAAGAATACTTTTGTTCTCAGGATTCTTCTTAAAGAAACAGTTCACCCCAAAATGAAAATGTACCTACTGTTTACTCTTCCTCAAGTGGTTCCAAACCTTTAGGAGTTTCTTAAGGTATTTTGAAGAATACTGAAAACTGGTAACCATTGACTTCCATTGCAAGGAAAACAAATGGAAGTCAATGGTTACAGGTTTTCAGAACTCTTCAAACTATCTTTTTTATGTTCAACAGAAGAAATAAACTCATAAAGGTTTAAAACAAGTAAAGAGTGAGTAAAAGGTTAAATTTTTTTAACTCTGCTTTAAGTAACCCAAATCTCTCTCCGCACCCTGAAAGGAAGAATAGATCTCTAATCTCAGCTAATGTGGAGCTGAAGACAAACCGCTCACACTTAAACCTGCATATTTATTGTGATTGGCCGCTCTATAGGTAAATGTTTCTTTTAGATTGCATTCAGATGACAGAGAATGCGAAAGGCTCTGAAGAGAAGTGTTATGATTGGAGCCACACTTCATCTGATCTCACATTGATGCACAATGAATTGCAGAAAAGCCCCCCTGGACCACAGCTTTTGATATTTAAGATGGAAAGTATCTGCTTGAAACCAAAGAGAAATGAAGATAGAAAGTGTATTTGGGTTCAAGAGAGCTCTCTGTTCTCAGCAACAACAAAAAAGCCCTCTGATTGGCTGATGAGCATTCTAAGACGTGCGGTTATTCTCAGGAAAATGCGCAGCTAAAGTAGTTCCGGCAGGTTTTGAGTGCATTAAAGCTCCATATCACTATGCTGAATGATTTGAGTTAGTCATTCATTCATTTTCTTTATGGCTTAGTCCCTTTATTAATCAGGGGTCACCACAGCGGAATGAACCGCCGACTTGCCCAGCATATGTTTTACGCAGTGGATGCCCTTCTAGCTGCAACCAATCACTGGGAAACACCCATACACACTCAATCACACACATACACTATGGACATTTTAGCTTACACCAACTCCCCTATAGCGCATGTGTTTGGACTTGTGGGGTAAACCGGAGCACCTGCAGGAAACCCACGCCAACACAGGGAGAAAATGCAAACTCTACACAGATCTGACCCAACTGACTCAGCCGAGGCTCGAACCAGTGACCTTCTTGCTGTGAGGCGATTGTGCTACCTATGCCTACCTATACCAATACCAATGTGCTGGCCTGCTTTGAGTTTTTTCACAGCTGCAAAATCACATCAAAACACAACAGTAGGCTTTAGAGGAGATGTGGAAGAAACTAGTGCTACACACACGAGCAGTTTGAGGACAAAAACGTGACCAATGTCTCAAACACAACATCTGAACAGTGGATTTAGGTGTAAGAGCACTAGTTTAAGCAGAGTAATTCACACCTTTTATGAGATTATGAGAAAATTATGAGAAAATAAAGCACACCTGAGGTGTAACACCACTCTATTTGACCGCATCACCACCTCAGGTGTGCATTACTGTCTAATAACTCAATGGTCCATCATCAATTATGAGATATAAACACTTAAACTGCATTGCTAGTGAATGCTTGATTCTGATTGGCTTATGAACATTAGCTGAGTGTTTATCTGAAGACAACTGCACACTAATAAAGTAGTTCCGGCATGTTTTGGGCGCATTATAGCTCCATATCACTCCACTGAGTGATTAATTGAGCTACTTCACAGCAACAAAAGTCCAAAATCACATTAAAACACAACAGTAGGCTTTGGAGGAGAAGTGGAAGAAACTAGTGCTACACACACGAGCAGTTAGAGGACAAAAACCTGACCAATGTCTCAAACACAACATCTGAACAGTGGATTTAGGTGTAAGAGCACTAGTATAAGCAGAATAATTCACACCTGTCTGATGAATTATTAGAAAATAATACACACCTGAGGTGTAACACCACTCCATTTGACCGCATCACCACCTCAGGTGTGCATTACTGTCTAATAACTCAATGGCAAATTTGCAATTTTGAGATATAAACACTTAAACTGCATTGATAGTGAATGCTAGATTCTGATTGGCTAATGAACATTAGCTGTGTGCTTATCTGAAGACAACTGCACACTAATAAAGTAGTTCCGGCATGTTTTGGGCGCATTACAGCTCCATATCACTCCACTGAGTGATTAATTGAGCTACTTCACAGCAACAAAAGTCCAAAATCACATTAAAACACAACAGTAGGCTTTGGAGGAGAAGTGGAAGAAACTAGTGCTACACACACGAGCAGTTAGAGGACAAAAACCTGACCAATGTCTCAAACACGACATCTGAACAGTGGATTTAGGTGTAAGAGCACTAGTATAAGCAGAATAATTCACACCTGTCTCTTGAATTATTAGAAAATAATGCACACCTGAGGTGTAACACCACTCTATTTGACCGCATCACCACCTCAAGTGTTCATTACTGTCTAATAACTCAATGGCTCATTGTCAATTATGAGATATAAACACTTAAACTGCATTGCTAGTGAATGCTTGATTCTGATTGGCTAATGAACATTAGCTGAGTGTTTATCTGAAAACAACTGCACACTTATAAAGTAGTTCCGGCATGTTTTGGGCGCATTACAGCTCCATATCACTCCACTGAGTGATTAATTGAGCTACTTCACAGCAACAACAGTCCAAAATCACATTAAAACACAACAGTAGGCTTTGGAGGGGATGTGAAAGAAACTAGTGCTACACACACAAACAGTTAGAGGACAAAAACCTGACCAATGTCTCAAATACAACATCTGAACAGTGGATTTAGGTGTAAGAGCACTAGTATAAGCAGAATAATTCACACCTGTCTGTTGAATTATTAGAAAATAAAGCACACCTGAGGTGTAACACCACTCTATTTGACCGCATCACCACCTCAGGTGTGGATTACTGTCTAATAACTCAATGGCAAATTTGCAATTATAAGATATAAACACTTAAACTGCATTGCTAGTGAATGCTTGATTCTGATTGGCTAATGAACATTAGCTGTGTGCTTATATGAAGAAAACTGCACACTAATAAAGTAGTTCCGGCATGTTTCGGGCGCATTACAGCTCCATATCACTCCACTGAGTGATTTATTGAGCTACTTCACAGCAACAACAGTCCAAAATCACATTAAAACACAACAATAGGCTTTGGAGGAGATGTGGAAGAAACTAGTGCTACACACACGAGCAGTTAGAGGATGAGAACCTGACCAATGTCTATTCAATTATTAGAAAATAATGGCGACCTCAGATGTGCAGTAATAACGTTGTAAAATCATTGCTTACACTTATAAACAGTACTGTTTAGGTTTGTGTCCTAGTTTGATAGAATTACTGCCTTTTATTTTTTTATTTTGGTGCATCGGACCCACTCTGACTCTGCAGTGATCTCAGATGTTGAGCAAGCCTGCAGAATCTGAGCTGGGGAAGGAAGGGCCTGCCCTGTGGAAACTCTTCGCTCACAATAGACCATTGAAAGACTCCATTTATACGTCCATTTCGGGGTCTACCTGATGGGCCAATGTTGTGTGCTGACAGCCAGCAATTTCCCCATCTCTCAACAGTTTTTATATCACATGCAGTGTGTGAACTAGATTTGTCAGATAAGTCTTGAGCCTGGCAACCAGAAACTGTAATCGCTAAAACAAGCAAGTTATGCTTTTATTTCCATGAGATACTGTAAGAATGCTTGCATTTGTTCAGTATAAAAGGCTTGTACTGTATATACAGTATAGATGAAGGCAAAACTATTTGCCCCTCCTGTGTAATTTAAATTCTTTATCAAAGAAATGCTGCTTTTAATTTTTAGGACACATTTTTAGTATGCTATTCACTGGAATTTATTTTTAGTATGTTGTCGACTGGATTATTTATGTATATATTATGAAATGCTTACATTTGTGGAGGTTTAGTTTGTTTTTCTAGTTTTAAAAGCTTAGATTCTTTAGAGCTTTAGTATGTTGTTTACTGGAATTTACACACTTATAATAATAAAAGCTTAAACTGGTGCATTTTTAATAGGTTGTTCGTTAGAAATAGGGCACATTTGCATAATCACACTTAACATTATATACAGTTGAAGTCAGAATTATTATCCCCCTTGAATTTTTAGACCGCTTGTTTATTTTTTCCCCAATTTCTGTTTAACAGGGAGCAGATTTTTCTTCAACACATTCCTAAACATAATAGTTTTAATAAGTCATCTCTAATAGCTGATATATTTTATCTTTGCCATGATGACTGTAAATAATATTTTAGTAGATATTTTTCAAGACACTTCTATACAGCTTAAAGTGACATGTAAAGGCTTAACTAGGTTAATTAGGTTAACTAGGCAGGTTAGGGTAATTAGGCAAGTTATTGTATAACGATGGTTTGTTCTGTAGATTATCGAGAAAAGATTTAGCTTAAAGGGGCTAATAATTTTGTCCCTAAAATTGTGTTTAAAAAATTAAAAACTGCTTTTATTCTAGCCGAAATAAAACAAATAAGACTTTCTCCAGAAGAAAAAAATATTATCAGACATACTGTGAAAATCTCCTGAATCTGTTAAACATCGTCTGGGAAATATTTAAAAAAGAAGAAAAAAATTTAAAGGGGGCTAATAATTCTGACTTCAACTATATATTGCAATATCTTAGTTTCTTTAACACATTATTAAACATAACAGATTTAATAACTAATTTATTATGTATTTGCCATGATGACAGTACATAATATTTTGATAGTTATTTTACAAGGAACTATTCAGCTTAAAGTGACATTTAATTGAATAATTAGGTTAAAATGTTAATTTAAAAAATCTTAAGGTGCTAATAGAATTAACCTTAAAAATATTAACAAAAAACGACTTTTATTCAGTATAAATGTTTCAAGACTTTCTCCAGAAGAAGAAAAACAATTATAGGAAATACTCACTGTTTTCTTACTCTGTTTTAAATTTTACAGTAATTTTGTTTTAAATTCTTACTAGTAAATTTCTCTTCATTCATTTTCATAATTATATTGAGTTTCTTTTGTCTGAAATGCAGTTTTAAAGGAATTAAATCATCACAGATGGATTTATAGGAAGATTTATTAGCTGTTTTGGTGATTGTTTTATTTTCATTCATTCATTTTCTTGTTGGATTAGTCACTTTATTAATCCGGGGACCCACAGCGGAATGAACCGCCAACTTATCCAGCAAATATTTTACCCTATGCCCTTCCAGCCACAACCCATCTCTGTGAAATGTTTTATTTTCTTATTTAATATTTTTTCAAAGCGTAACAAATTGCATGACGGAAGTATTAGTTCACTAAAGAGACAAGTTTGACGTGATTCTTTTGCTAAGAATATTGCACTTAGAAGAGAAAATAGTTTTTATTTATTCTGTCTCTAAAAAATAGTGCGTGAGACGGATCACCATCTAGGAGTACCCCAGGGCTTTGTGTTAGGACCCATCCAGTTGTCTTACGTCATGATTTGGAGCTTAAAAATAAACTTTAAAATGCATGTCTAAAATAGATTTTTACATAGACAAGTATTGACTCTATTATACATGTATCAGAAACATTTCTATCTCCTAAATATACTTTAAAATGTATTAAATCATCACAGAGCGACTTATAGGAAGATTTATTAGCTGTTTTGGTGATTTTATTTTTTAAAGTGTAACATAAATTGCATGATGGAAGTACTGGTTCACTCAAGAGACAAGAGTTTGACTTCTTTTGCTAGCAATCCCAAAACAATATTGCACTTGGAAGAGATCAGAGCTTTTATTTATTCTGTGTATAAAAAACTGCGTAAGACGGATCACCATCTAGAAGTACCCCAGGGCTCTGTGTTAGGACCTATCCAGTTGTCTTACGTCATGATTTCTTGTGAATGTCTCCTGTGGCGCCGAGTGTGTTTATGCAGCACGAGTGTGTGTATGACACATGCAGAGCTGAGAAGGTCGCATGTAAAATTAAAATGAGCCACATGCTTGTTTTATAGTCTGTTTGCTGTTGACCTAAGCTCACGTCAACTTGTTTTTACTGTAAATGATCTGTGTTTGGGAAAATCTCCTCATGCTTATGAACGATTACTAAGCCTAAACTGTGGATATGCAAAGAGGTTTGCCACATTAGCATCAAATGAAGCTTATAAACTATTATGATGTAAGAAGAAAGTTGAAAACCTCCCTGCTATGTATAGTATATAAAATACATGCTTATAGTATGAAAGCTTAGATTTTTGGAGTTTTAGTGTGTTATTTGCTAGAAAATACACATTTAAAAAATGAAAAGCTTAGATTTGTGGAGTTTTAGTGTGTTATTTGCTAGAAATTACACACTTTAAGTGTGAAAAGCTTAGATTTGTGGTGATTTAGTGTGTTATTTGCTAGAAAATACACGTTTACACATTTTAAAGCTTAGATTTGTGGAGTTTTAGTGTGTTATTTGCTAGAAAGTACACGTTTAAAAAATTAAAAGCTTAAATTTGTGGAGATTTAGTGTGTTATTTGCTAGAAAATACACTCTTAAAATATAAAAAGCTTAAATTTATGAAGATTTAGTGTGTTATTTGCTAGAAAGTACACGCTTAAACTATAAAAAGCTTAGATTTGTGGAGTTTTAGTGTGTTATTTGCTAGAAAGTACATGCTTAAACTATAAAAAGCTTAGGATTGTGGAGTTTTAGTGTGTTATTTGCTAGCAAATACACGTTTAAAAAATGAAAAGCTTAGATTTGTGGAGATTTAGTGTGTTATTTACTAAAAAGTACACGCTTAAATTATAAAAAGCTTAGATTTTTCAAGTTTTAGTGTGTTATTTGCTAGAAAGTACACGCTTAAACTATAAAAAGCTTAGATTTGTGGAGTTTTGGTGTGTTGTTTACTGAAATCTATATGCTAATTGTATGAAATGCTTACATTTATGGAGTTTTATTGTTATTTACTAGAAAATATATGCTTATATTATAAAAAGCTTAGATTTTTGGAACTTTATTTTGTTGTTTATTGGAATTTATACACTTATAGTAAAAAAAAAAAAACTATATTTGTGGTGTTTTTAGTCTGTTATTTACTAGAAAATATATGCATATGTTATAAAAATCTTACATTTGTGCAGTTTTAATGTTTTTTGCTTCAAAATATATGCTCAAAGTATGAAAAGCTTAGATTTTTGGAACTTTAGTATGTTGCTAACTGGATTTTTTAACACTTTTTACACAGTTGCGCAGCTTTACTATAGTGTTCATTGAAAATGTGTGATCTCAAAGGCATATTACATTTATCATGAACTCAACTAAACTCATGTTGCAGGTTAAAGGAGTCGCAGTCTGTCCTGTTGAAGAGAGCTCTGTCCAGTGGAATGGCCGGACAGAAGATCACTAATGTTATTCTGCAATACATCGAGTCTGAGCGAAGGAAACTGGAGACTTCATCCTCTGCGGGAGCGACTAAAGTCTCCAGCACCAAAACTTTCCACAGTCAGCGTGGCCAGTACAAGCTCATCTACAGCGCAGGTCAGTCCAGCACTGTGTTTTGGGCAAAACATTCACCTAATGGCCTTTCCTTTCCTTCTGAAAGAACATTTCAGATGAGATTTGGGTCATTATTTAATGGTTTCTCCTTGACAGCAATGTGATTTAGCAGCTTTGTACTGTTTTTTAAGCTTTTCGTTCATTTATTTAAACGTCAATGGCATTAATGACAGCAAAATAACATTACAGGGTTGAATGAGTGCCGGAGTGTAGCATTTCTGTACAAACACACAGCACCAACTACTTTTTAGAGCTTTTTAAAAGTTTATTACAAATTGCATATGTTATTTTTCAGTATACCCCCCCCCCCTCCTGTCAAAGTTCAGAATTTGTCTGCTATATAAGCTCATTTGTCCCATTTTTGACAATAAGCATCATAATTTGTGAAACTTACCAATGGAAGAAGGCTTTAAAGGACACCTATGGTGAAAAATCTACTTTTCAAGCTGTTTGGACAGACATATGTGTATATATAGTGTATAGACCATCTTATTGGGGTGATATAAACACACCCAGTCCTTTTTTTTCAATTTAACAACATAAAAACGGTGGACCAATTGGAGCGGTTTTCAGACCGAACGCAACTTGATGTAGGAGTGCAATCCCCCCGCCCACCGGATTGATTGACAGCTGCGCGCATTAACATGTCCCGGTAGTCACGTGTATAATCATGTCAACAAGACCAGACATGCGCAAAGCAACCGGGAATAAAAATTCTGTTCACTTCGCTAGGATCAGCAATCATCATCAAACATGATCAAGAGTGAGTTTCATATGTTTGAAATGTTTTAAAACAGTGCACGTGTGTAATGAAGTACAGCGATTTACTTCAGCTTTACTTCTTCAGGAAGGAAGATGCTTCAATCCCGGTTTGTGGACGTTAAATCAGGTTTATTTTGTACATTAACATAACAGATATCCATACAGCAGCAGAGATTAACCTGTATCCTGTCACATATGCATGCAAAAACAGTGCAAAGCTAAGCGCGCTGTCTGTCTGTGTGTGAACTTTGTAACGATATAGTGTGTAACTCATCAATGCAAATGCACAACAAATGCTCATTGGTGAAGTTCTTCCTGTAGTATTGCTCACAAACGCTACGTGAGATCTTCTTCCTTTAAGTCTGTCTGTTGTTTGACGCAGACAAGGAGGAGATTTAGGCATGCAGAAAGGCACATGGTAGGCGCGGAGGACTCGCCTTAAAGGCGCAGTACGACAAAACAGCCCCCTGATGGAAAAATGTATAAAATAGGATCTAGTAAAAGGTATAATGAAAAATCTGATGGGTGTTTTGAGCTGAAACTTTACAGACACATTCTGGAGACGGAAAACACGTATATTAAATCTGAAAAAAGGGGTAACCTAGGTGCCCCTTAAGACAAATGAAGCTTTTAATTATTCTAATTGACAAATTCAGATTGAGGAAATGAGCTGGCCAGTTTGATATTTGCCTACAATTTAGGCAAAGTTTAAACAGATTCATAATTGTGTTTTTTTATGATGATGATAATAATTTTGTACTTTAAATTAAGCATATTTTCTTATTTCTTTGTTAAAAAAATTTAGATTTTAAAATTCTACAGTCATTACATTAGCTGTGTCTTTTTTTCAAAGTGATTTTATAACTTATATTAAGTGATCTAAAGGCAAAACAAGCTTACACGCCCCCAAAATGACACTTTTTTATATAATATCTGTTTAATTTATTTTAAATAATAATAATAATATTAACAATAAAAAAAATGAAAAAATTGAATTACAAATATTCTCAACAATAAAAATAATGAAATAACTTCATTTAATATATTGACAAATCTAAATAAATAATAAAAAACTGATTAAAAATATAATTAAAAATATTCTCAAAAAATAACTATAAAAATTTTATATATTCAAAAAATAAAATAATAAAAAATTTGTAAAAATCATTTTAAAATCTCATTTAAATATTTTCAAAAATAAAAAATAATTTAAAATTTTTTATATATTCTAAAAACTAAAATTTTTTAATAAAATCTCATTTAATTATTCTTTAAAATAAAAACTATAAAAATCTCATTTAAAATATTCTCAAAACTAAAACAATAAATACAAATTTAAAAACATCCCATATAGAAATTCTTAAATCTGAAAAATAAATAAAATAACAAAAAACAATAAAAAATATCATTTAAAATATTCTCAAAACTCAACAATAAATAAAATAATTTACAAACTTTACAAAATACAAATTTTCAAAGTGATTTTAAAACTTATATTAAGTGATCTAAAGGCAAAACAAGGTTACACGCCCCCAAAATGACACTTTTTAACACATTATAATAAACAAATCTGAACTGTGCTTTGAACTAAACCTAAACTGGCACACTCAGAACAACCATCATACTAATATTAAATCTTTAAAAAGGGGTAAAATAGGTGCCCTTCAAACAATTTAGTGCAAAATATGAAAATTATGGTTGCACTGGTCTGAAAAGAGCAATAAATCGCACCAAACACGTCTTGCACCCTATTGTGTGGGTGTATGATAGAGCGTATACAGTCATGTAATCTGTGTTCAGTAAATCACAAACAACTCTAAAGCTCACGTTTGTCCTCGTTATTTTGCGCTTGTAGTCATAAAGGTCGGGAAGTGTAGAGGTTTGTTCAGGTGTTCGTGTCAACATGTTAAGCTTTTCTTTGCGAGCAGCTCAGGCTTGAAAACAGCAGATATCTTGTTTTAATAATTTGGCGTGTTTCCTGGATTGTAAACGTTAGCGCTGTGATAAGCTTTATCTGGCTGTGGATTGTGCTGGTCTGCATTGAGACGCTCCTCGATACGCTATTGTAATGTATTCCTGCTATTGTTTAGCTTGGCTCAGAGCGATGCTGCAGTCATTTCTCAGGAGGTGATGTAGAGTTTGGCTAGTGTGTGTGTGTGTGTGTGTGTGTGTGTGTGTGTGTGTGTGTGTGTGTGTGTGTGTGTGTGTGTGTGTGTGTGTGTGTGTGTGTACATGAGCTCAAAACACACTGGCAGAGCACAGGAAGAGTGTGGAGACTGACCTTTTAGCATACAGAGAGACACACAAACACACTCATATAGGCTGTACACACACACAAGAAACACACATACTCGCAACACACACACAGACGTTTTTCCATTATTAGATAAAGTTCATGTAATACTGTTAATAATTCATTTCTTTTCTGGGAAATGTCGCAATGTCAAAAAAAATAAGGGTTTTCTGTCCTTATGGTGAAACTTTGTCCTCAAAATTTAGGCAAATCCCGACACACGTCTGCTGCTGCTTCATATCTGTGGATTGATGGATGCTCTGTAAGCTCTTGAAGATGAAGCTATAGCTGATAAGTAAAGCTTGAGGGAGCTTTTCCAGCAATTCCAGGACAGTTTTAATTCAGCTAATTCAAGGAATGTACCTAAATCTGTCATAATTTGGTTATGAAACAGGGCTGTTAAAAATGCACTTCTATAACATATTAACTCATATAAAGTATTTAAAAAATGTACTTATTAATTTACTTTATATTAACACTTTATCGTATTTATTTGAGCTATTGTTGACGATGAGTATACATAGTAAATGAAAATAAAATAAATGTAAAACTTTTTTTCACAAACCAGGTTGCTGCTGAAACAACTTTTCTTTATAATATTTTTTAAATTTATTTTAAATAATAATAATAATAAAGTAATAAACAAAAAATCTAATTTAAAAAATTATCAAAAATAAAGATAATGAAATAACCTTATTTAAAAAATTGACAAATCTAAAAAAATAATAAAAATAGCTTATTAAAAAATATTTTTTAATACTCTCAAAAACAAAATAATTGTAAATATTTAATATATTCGAAAAATAAAAAAATAAAAAAACTTTAAAAATTATTTTGAAATCTCATTTAAATATTCTCAAAAATAAAATAAAAATAAAAACAATAAAAGTCTCATTTAAAACATTTAAAAAACTAAAACAATAAATACAAATTTAAAAACAATAAAAACATCTCATTTAAAATATTCTCAAAACAAAAAAATAAAGTAATTAAAAACAATAACAAATCTAATTAAAAAATTCTAAAATAAAAAAATAAATAAAAATAGATAAAATACAATAAAAAAAATCTTGTTTAAAATATTCATTTAATATATTCTAAAAATAAATAAATAAATAAATTACAAAAATAATTAAAATTACTAAAAAATAACAAAAAAATGTTAAAAAAAAATTCTAATTAAAAATTGAAAATATTCTAAAACAAAAACAACAAAAAAAAAACAACAAAGATCTGCACAGTCGCGATCGCCTCACAGCAAGAAGGTCACTGGTTCTAACCTTGGCTGGGTCAGCTGGCATTTCTGTGTGGAGTTTGCATGTTTTCCCCGCGTTGGCATGGATCTCCTCCGGGTGCTCCTGTTTCAACTAAAGTCCAAACACATGCGCTGTAGGGGAAATGGGTAAGCTAAATTGTCCGTAGTGTATGAGTGTGAATGAGTTTCTATGAATGTTTCCTAGTATTGGTTTGCAGCTGAAAGGGCATTCACTGTGTAAAACATATGTTGGCGGTTCATTTCGCTGTGGTGACCCCTGATTAACTAAGAGGTCAAGAAAAGCTGAAAAAAAATGAATGAATTAATTAATTTAAAATATTCTTAAAACTAAAAAAAATAATAATAAATAAAAACAACAAAAAGATCTCATCTAAAAAAAAATAAAAAATCAGAAATAAATTTAATAATAAAAAACAAAAAAAATTCATGTAAAATATTCTCAAAATTAAATAATAAATAAATAAATAAAAAAACAATACAAAATCTCATTTAAAATATTCTCAAAAGCTAAAAAAATTAATAAAATAGTTAAAAAAACAATAAAAGTCTCATTAAAATATTCTCAAAATTAATAAATAAATAAAAAATAAAAGAACAATAAAAAAATCTAAACTATGTAAAATACAAATAAAATAATCAAAAACAATAAAA